CTCTGAGCGACGCGAGTAATATGCGGCCGCGAGGGACGATTTGCTGCCGAGGGAGTTTCTGCCACGGAGAGAAGGAGCTTGTTGGAGTGCGAACTTGTTGGAGCGCGAATCCTAGGCCTTCTCTCCGTGGCAAAAACTCCCTCGGCAGCAAATCGTCCCTCGCGGCCGCATATTACTCGCGTCGCTCAGAGAAAAAATAACGCCGACGCCCAACAAGACTGCGAAGGAGGCTAGAAAAATAGTATGAGGCGTACTGGAGACACAAATTAGATATGCAAATAGGCTCGCGTCGCTCAGAGAAAAAATAACGCCGACGCCCAACAAGACTGCGAAGGAGGCTAGCCTCATCCTACATAAAACATGTTCTGGACAACAATTTCTATGCCGGAAGTAATCAACAAACCAGACTGATTGGAGTTGTTTTACGGACGCCGCCGTCGTGAGTGCGCCCAGCGCGACGCCTTGCACCTTTCGAGCAGGTAAAATGCTTTCTAGACTGATTTAGGAACACCCTGTCTCCTTTTTAATCAATAATTAACAGACTATTCTAACAAATCTATGAGAGGCCGTACTATTAGATTTCTGCTAATCTATGAATTAAGAATGCTATTACATTTTCCTAGGTATGTTATTTTTTATGTAACTTGATGACTTACTGAAAAACATGGTAATTATTTACATAAGAGCATGTCAGCCCATGTTTGAAGGATTTTTAAATATTGAAATTTACCTTACATGTAACTTGCAACAATGCTGACACTCAATTGTTTTGCAATTTTCCTCCAGGCGCCACACCCAAGCCGCGAGACCAGACTAATTTGAGGTCATCTGCCGAGGCCGGGGCTAACATACCAAACCCAATATACGTCTCTGGAGCAGGTAAAACACTTACTAGAAACCGAGTTCTTTTCCTGTGGCCTTTTTTTCTATGTTGGCCAGGTTATTTGTGATAAATGCTTTCCAACAATATTATGCCCCGTAGATGTTAAGTTATTTTGTTTACTTTTTTTATGCATTCGTTGTAAACCCAATATACGACTTCGGAGCAGGTAAAACACTTACTATAAACTGAGTTCTTTTCCTGTGGCATATTTCTTCTATGTTGGCCTGGTTACTAGTATTTGTGATAAATGCGTTCCAACAATGCCCCGTAGATGTTATCATATTTCAGTCCATACCATGGTATGGATGAAATATATTGTGTTCTCTCATGTTTCTTCTTCTCCTTCTCCTGCCAAACAGTCAAAGGGATTCAACTCCGCCATCATTCAGCCAAATGACTTGAAATTTGGCATGGAGGTAGAGTGAGCCAATACCCCCAGGCGTTTTAAAATTTTTTTGATACATGCGTTTGAAACATTTTTATGAAGGTTTTTTGGGGCATTTTTCGCCAAAAAATGGATTTTTGGATCCTGAGCCCTGGTTTTACAACCAAATGATCTGAAATTCGGTATAAGGGTACCTTGAACATGTGTCTACAGAAAACCAGTCACATATCTGGCATACATTACTTCCAAATGACTCATTTAGGGGACTTTAATGGCTATTTTCAGCAAAAATGGCCAAAAGTGCTATACCCGTTCCATGTTCTATCTAAAGAATGTCCCGTTCCATCTGCCGTTGGCCATGGAACACGTGCTCCATTGCGGGTTACCTGGGGTCACATTGCACGTAAGTCGTGCGTAATGACCCACACATTCAATTTTATGTGCCTAAGACCTTCAAAATGTATCAAATCTCATCATTGTTAGTATTTGCATACCTGTAATAAGATTAGTAAAGCTTTCGAGATTCAATGTGCTTGTTCTTGCATCTTTATTCTCAATTACATAGCTACTATATAATTCATTTATTTGAGAAGTTTTACACTGGGGTAAGTTTGGAATAGTCCACTTTTGCGTGGGAGGGAGATGTCGGCCTCTCTAGTATTGTTTACTTTTTTATCCATTCGTTATAAACCCAATGTACGACTCCGGAGCAGGTAAAACACTTACTAGAAACCGAGTTCTTTTCCTGTGGCCTTTTTTTCTATGTTGGCCAGGTTATTTGTGATATATGCTTTCCAACAATGCCCCGTAGATGTTAAGTTATTTTCTTTCTTTATTTATTTATGCATTCGTTATAAACCCAATGTACGACTCCGGAGCAGGTAAAACACTTACATAAACCGAGTTCTTTTCCTGTGGCCTTTTTTTCTATGTTGGCCTGGTTATTTGTGATAAATGCTTTCCAACAATGCCCCGTAGATGTTAAGTTATTTAATTTTTTCATGCATTCGTTATAAACCCAATGTACGTTTCCGGAGCAGGTAAAATACTTACTAGAAACCGAGTTCTTTTCCTGTGGCATATTTTTCTATGTTGGGCAGGTAATTTGTGATAAATGCTTTCCAACAATACGCCGTAGATGTTAAGTTATTTTTGTTTATTTATTTATTTATGCATCCGTTACCAACCCCATGTACATCTCCGGAGCAGGTAAAACACTTACTAGAAACCGAGTTCTTTTCCTGTGGCCTTTTTTCTATGTTGGCCAGGTTATTTGTGATAAATGCTTTCCAACAATATTATGCCCCGTAGATGTTAAGTTATTTTGTTTCCTTTTTTATTCATTCGTTATAAACTCAATGTACGACTCCGGGGCAGGTAAAACACTTACTAGAAACCGAGTTCTTTTCCTGTGGCATATTTTTCTATGTTGGCCAGCTGCAGGTTACTAGTATTTGTGATAAATGCTTTCCAACAATGGCCCGCAGATGTTAATTTATTTTGTTTATTTATTTATGCATTCGTTATAAACCCAATGTACGTCTCCGAAGCAGGTAAAACCCTTTCCAGCAACGTTTGCTGAGTTCTTTGCCTGTGGCCTTTTTTTCTATTTTGGCCAGGCCGGGTTATCTATGATAAATGGTTTTAAACAGTGCCCCGTTGCTATTCTGTCTTTTTGTTTGCTTGTTTATTTATCTATCTATCTATTTATTTATGCAATCGATATAAACCCGATGCACGTCTTCGGTGCAGGTAAAACGCTTACTAGAGACGGTTGCTGAGTTCTTTTCCTGTGGCCTTTTAGCGTTCTTCTATTTTGGCCAGGTTATTTATGATAAATGGCTGTCAACAATGCAACGTAGATATTCCATTATTTTGTACATTTATTCATGAATTCGTTATTTACCTACTAGTAGGTATCGCGTGGCTGTTTTTTCAACGGGGTCTGGGGAGCGACAGTCAGTGACCGCAAATTATCTTCGTTAGAAGCTAGAGTTCAAAACCGCTAGCGATGGAAGAAAAAAAATGAGAAACACTTGATTTGCTTTGATTATTTTCTTCATTTTGAATGTTTCTGCCACATGCGTGTTTACGCTGTTTACGTATGTGTCGGATGAATTTGTCAACATTATATTTTCTCAGTCATATTGATTAATAGACTAATGTTGCTTAAATATGGGGAAGTTACTTAATGATGGAACACAAGAAGCTTACGTGATGCTTGATATAATTATGTGACAATTATGCAAATATGGATGTAATTTTTTAATATATGTGGAAATTCTATAAATCAGTTTCATTCCATGATAGGACCATTGAAGCTAGTGACATTGGTAATTGAGAACAAGAGAAACACAGGCAGATATTGATTATTATGCAAATAAATATTAAATTTGCATACTTAATGAGAAAATGTTATAATTCTGTAATGATAACTGCCTGGAATGTCATACTTGTGGTGTTGAACATAATGTATTCAAATCAGGACCTCATTTGCATAATTTATGAGGAAATCCCAGAATGGCATTGTTTGTTAATATAAGACTGTCTTTTGGTTGAGAATATGATAAACTGATATAAATCATGAAAATGAGGATCCTATTTGTTTTAATCAGGGGGAATAATCTATAATTTGTCAGTCACAAAGATTAACATCATTTGGCGAAGGTATGAGATCGGGGAAGTCTAGTTACAACCTTCTTTCAATAACGAATGAGACAATGCTTTGTTTGCAAATAACATTTTCTGAAAAAAAAACTTTTTTGCTAGGTCAAACGGCAAACACAAGCGCCTACAACATGACCAAGTGGTCCCACTGGTGCAGGACATTATGGTTGACCACTGGTGGCCTGGCCTTTGTGGTCATCGCCATTGTACTTCCTTTTGTGGCAGGTCAGTTTCTACTATCACTACACCGGTCCCTTGACTATCACGTGTGAATGATATTCTGAATTTATTTCATGTCGAGAAAGGAGGGCGCTGTAAGTTCAGGATGGGAATAATTCTGTAATAGTGATAAAATGAAAACGCAGATTCGCCGTGTTATTATTTTACCGCGAAAATTAATTGCGATCATTTTAAAATTTCACGAGTTTTGAAAAAAATTCATATTGCTTCCGCATTATTGACTTTATAATTTCATAACTCAAATGATTTTTGGCCTTACAGTAACGATGGTAGTTTAAGACAACTCGCAGTATCTATATATAACATAGGAAGGTTAATTTTCGTTCTATTGTTTTCAATACAGTTAACGTGGGCATCCTTTCTGAGGGGACGAACAGTCTTTTAGTAAGACTAACAGGGCTGGAACGTAAGTAGTGACATAGATACATATATGATATTTGTAAATCAATAATAATAATAATAACAATAATAATAATAATGATGTTGATGATGATGATGATAATGATAATGATAATAATATTATTATTGTCTGTTATTATTATTATTATTATTATTGTCTGTTATTATTATTATTATTATTATTATTATTATTATTATTATTATTATTATTATTATTATTATTATTATTATTATTATTATTATTATTATTATTATTATTATTATTATTATTATTATTATTATTATTATTATTATTTAGACTGACACACACACACACACACACAAACACACGCACGCACACACACAGACCAAAAGCAATATCTCCACTTTTCATTGAGGCTTCTACTTTTTATACCATTTATCGACTGATAGGAGCCGGGTCTACTGGGCCAACAGGACCCCCTGGAGAAAGGGGACCCATGGGGCCGACTGGCCCTGTGTCTACCGGGCCTCCTGGGCCTCCAGGACCCGTTGGGCCGCCTGGTCCTGTCGTACCGCCCAAGTGCAATGAAGGTTAGGACAATAATATTCTTTTCCCATCACTTCCAGAAGACATACAATAAAAGAAGATATTTCAGTGTGTTCCAACTGTAGCTAGTATATGTTAATAGTTACTGTAGAAAATCATACTAAACTAGAAAGGCCGACATTTGCTTGGGAGCAAATACAGCATATTTCAGTCCATCTCCCTCCCACGCAAAAGTGGACTATTCCAAACTTACCCCAGTGCAAAACTGGCAAAGGTTCTTAAATAACTGAATTAAACAGTAGCTATATGAGAACAAAGATGCAACAACAAGTACTTTGAATCTCGAAAGCTTTACTAATCTTATTACAGGTATGCAAAAACTAACAATGATGAGATTTGATACATTTTGAAGGTCTTAGGCACATAAAATTGAATGTGTGGGTCATTACGCACCACTTCGGTGCAATGTGACCTCAGGTAACCTGCAATGGAACACGTGTTCCATGGATGGAACCGGCCATTCTTCAGATAGAACATGGAACGGGTATAGCACTTTTGGCCTTTTTTTTGCTGAAAATAGCCATTAAAGTCTCCCAAATGAGTCATTTGGAAGTGGTGTATGCCAAATACATGACTGCTATTCTGTAGACACACGTTCAAGGTACCCTTATACCGAATGTCATATCATTTGGTTGTAATACCAGGGCTCAGGATACAAAAATCCATTTTTTGGCGAAAAATGCCCCAAAAAACCTTCATAAAAATTGTTCAAAGGCATGTTTCAAAAAAATGAAAAAAAAGTCTGGGGGTATTGGCCCACTCTACCTCCATGCCAAATTTCAAGTCATTTGGCTGAATGATGGCGGAGATGAATCCCTTTGACTGTTTGGCAGGAGGAGTAGAAGGAGGAGGAGAAGGAGGAGGAGAAACATGAGGGAACACAATATATTTCATCCATACCATGGTATGGACTGAAATATAATTACCATCATAAATCTCACCAACAAGCGGACATCTGCTACATTACAAAATACAGGCACCGTAAAGAGCTATCCTAACATTCCATTCTACATAGATATAAAAGTAATCCAGGAAATAACATATGTTGATAAATGAATGTATGAATTAATAAACATGTGTTATGAACGCCCTTTGTCTAGAATCTTGTCCCGAAGGCTTCTGGAATGGGAACGGAGTCTGCTACAAGATGTTCCACTCCCCTTTGGTCTTCAGCGAAGCGGCCACGACCTGTCGTCTTCACGGCGGTACCCTCGCCATGCCCCGAGACCCAATGTCCAACCTCCTGATCAGAGGGGGACAGAGTCACCAATTCTGGATCGGGCTGAACGACCGGCGTGTAGATGGGTTCTTCGAGTGGATAGATGGCACTCCTCTCGGGAGCTACAGCTTTTGGGGTCCGGGACAGCCGGATGACAGAAATCATGAAGACTGTGTCGAATTTCGTTACTTCAATAAGAAAGGAGAGAGCTATTGGAACGATATGCCATGCGACTACAGCCTACCCTTCATGTGCCAAGTCATTCCAGGTACGCTTCACGTAAACACAATACTTGTCCAGGTATATATGTAATCATATATTCACCAATAGCTAGACATGCCGAACACGATGTTGATGGTAATTTCGTTTTCCCACAGGACAAACCTAGGCGGCAGACAGAACAGACAGACCGCTGATAGACGGCTCCCGACAAAGCCAAACAAACAAACAAACACGGCTTGGACTCTCATACAGAAATGTGGTCCACGGACGATGACCGTATCATATTCAAGAGATTGGCAATTCTACTTAGATGCACGTAAACAATGTTAACTCCTCGTATTCATATAGTATTTCTAGAGCTTCAGAATTAACTGTACAAAGGCGGCTCGCCGAACTCTGACCACCACTCTGACCACCCGAATGGCTATTGACGATCCTCAGTAAAGTGCGGGTTGAAGCCTGGATTATAAACTATTAACTGTATGTATTGCACGACAATTACACAAAGTAGAATGTATGGAACCTAGGTCTACATAACAACGATGTAGACATGCTATGAAACTTATCTATTTGACAAAATACTATGTAGTGTGGGTCGAAAATGTGCTTTTATAATTAATGGACGACTTTATGGCGCTTAGGCAATTCTTTGAAAATGTTGTAAACAGTTGTATAAGAAGAAGTTGTCACATATGTAGTTACGAATATTTGAATCTATTGAGAGAAATCCTGGTGTATGTGACTTGTTACATAACTTATTATGCCATGTTTGGATTTTTTTATCTGATTCAGTTGGGAAAATTCAAAGATTCAAATGGTTTTATTGGTTCTTCGCAGTTAAAGACTGAATTGTAACCCAATTTACAAAACGTTTTTCAGGCGCAGGATTAAAAAAAACCCAATAAAGTCCAGGTTTCAGACAATAAAATTTTCCATGACTATCATTGTTGACATTTGATACAAAACACTGTACTTAGAAGACAGCAGTCATGGTTTCAGTCCATAGTTATTGAGTAGTTGAACCATGAACGGTATGGGTGAGTTTTTGTATATATTGGTTCGTGCTCTCGAACAGTTTCTAGTACTACGACCAGTTATTTGTGATCTCTGTGGAGGTAGCCAATCTCTCAGTACTCTGACCCCAGAAGTGTTCCTAGCAAACTTAATACACAACCGTTCTCTTCTCTTGGCTAGTGATGACAATCCGAGATGTTGTAGTGCGTGGTCATATCCCGTGTCCAATGGACGGCAAATGCTAAATCGCATTATTTTCCTAATTACTCCGTGAACGAGGTCTGGACCTCCGGACGGAGTGTTGTGAACAGCCGTTTTTTCGTGTTCGCAGTCAAAACACTGGGTTCTCTTTGTGTGATCGGCATGCAACTTTATACGCCGTCTGCGGGCATGCCCGTGATGATGCACGAATGTGTAGTTTTGCCGTTGCTGCTTTCGCGGTCAATGTAATATTTCAAATGCACCCCTACAAGTTTGAGGCAAATTGGAATGGTCCAGAAAACCCGTTGTTTGGAATAGGGGGGTCAGGCAAACTTCAAGCAGATGTGGAGAGGGGCCAATAAGTGGTACAAGATGTTTTTGCCCGTGCTTTAGGCATGCTTGAGGTTTTTGGAAGATGTTCGCAGCCAAATCGCATTGTTCTGTACGTAGCTTTTCTGTGTAATTGGGCATGTGGTGTACCATAATGTCCATAATATCTCTTGGAGGCAACATGCCACTCTCGAAAAAAATTATGGAGGACTCCCAAGACTGTCTCAAAAACTCACCCACCGTCGAGTTATGTTCGCTGGACATTGTTTCCGAGCCAAGCAAGAAATTGTTTCATCTGTACTCATGTGGAAACCACGTGGACGAGTGCACTCCAGAAGTTTGACATTCACCGATACCTTAGTTAGAGACACTGGAATCGACTTTGATGACTTAGAAAATGTAATGCTTGATAGGGCTGTATGGAAAGAAATCTGCACTAGCTTAGTCCCGGCTGTTAGCCGATAGATGATGATGATGATAATGTCCGTGATGATGCACGTCTTTTTATTTTCACCGTAGCAGTTTTGATATTGAAGTAAATGCATATTTTAGAAACATCCCTTTAGGAATTGTGGTTTGCACCTACTGCTATACCTTGTCAAATGAATGATATGTAGTAAATGAAAGATATTGTTATGAAAGCAAGATGCAAGATGTCGGTAGCTTGAGGGGGACGACTGCGTGTGCAAGATATCGGTAGCTTGAGGGTGTGACAGGCTGAATAAAAGTTCTAAACGGGAACTATGCGGCTCCAGATGTCTTACTGAGGGACGACTGCGTGTGCAAGATGTCGGTAGCTTGAGGAATGAATCCCCTCTACTATATATAGTAAATGAAAGATATTGTTATGAAAGCTGACTTTGTTCATCTATTTAGATTGTCTTGTTGTTGATTTTATGTAGCCTGCGTTTACACTAGTCAGTCTGCAACTGTTTCCCCAAGGGGGGGGGGCGGCAGTCTCTGGGCAGGTGGCCACCAGGAGCGCGATTTTTTAGTCAGGCTACATTATTAGACCAGGGATTTAGCCAATTTTGATATACGTTGTTACCAGTTGTAAAGGGATCACACACTGTTTACATACACTATTACTGTTCCCAATCTGCAAAATATAAAAATTCAAGGAGAATTGTCGCCTATGGACACTTGTTTTGTTTTGTTTGAATCACGATTAAGTTTCTAAGCAGATGTTAAAGTCGAAGATTATTAAGATATTTTATAACAGTAGCTAAGGCAAGAGTAGACAACTGCTACAGAAGCACGGAAGAAAGAACGCCGTTCAAGAATCTTCTTCCCAACATCTTTTTGATATTAGATTAGTTCTCAGGATTATTTAACAGGGGTGTTGCGTCCTTATACCTTTGCTTGGTGGCGTCATATTCCTGAGACTAATTCTGTTATAAACAGAAAATTTAGATGGCCCATGACACCTTGCGTCCGCCAGAGTCTGTTGAAACTGTTCTAGGCCCGATATTACTCTAATGTCGTCTCTAGAACGTATTTTTGAATATTTCGGACGACAGGTCTTTCTCAGTATCACACCGCTATATAGATGTGCCGTGCTCAATCATTCTTGTCATCCTTCTTCTGTCAAGTTTGCATATTATGTCATCAAAAGATAACATTAAATCCCTACGTCTATTAATCGTCTTCAAAGTAAGTGAGATTATACACACTTTCAGGTTCTACTGGTAATGTCGTCTCTACAAGGCCTCCTACAGCAGCTGTGTCACAACCAACATACTTGTATCATATAATTATGCTGCTGCTTCCTGTCATGAAGGTACAAAATAATGTCTCTTTTCAAAGTAAAAAGGTTGGGGTTGTTATAATCTGCAACAACCTGGCAGTAAAGTCAGGTTCACGTTTCTAAAATTGTCGTCTTGCAAAAAACCTTTCTCTAACCTAAGGAATTATGGTCGTCTCTACAAGGCCTCCTACACAACGAACGTATAGCGACTGTGTCACAACCAAAATACTTGTATCATATAACTATACTTTCTCTACCTGTTGTCACATTCAAACCATTATATATAATTGAGGGCTTTCCTGTACCCTTCCTTTAGATGCAGGACTTTCTTGACGAGCGCCAGTATTTGTATGTTTTGGGACAGGTTTCCTTTCAGCCAGTATTTGTTTATTTGACAGTTTTGTCGTCTGCTCCCTTTAGATGCAGGACTTCCTGGACGAGAACTTCCTGCGTGAGCAGGTGGAGTCCATTAAGGTAGCAGAACACAGTATTAATGGGCGACCCCCGGGTCTGCGACGCGAGTATAGAAAGTAGTGCAGCAAATATGCTTGAAGGCTGGGTAGAAAGCCTGATAAGAGCGTCAGCCAGATGTAAATTGTGCTGTGTGGTGTAGGAATGTATCGGGTTTGAGACTGTATAATTTGAATTGTGAAGGTTTTGCAGTTCGTGTATAAATGCGCCGTATTACGCAACTGGCTTTCCGGGTGAGTCGGCTGCAGTTCAGGTCACGTCCGTAGAGGGAGATTTCAAAGTGTACGTTACGAGCAGATACGCCGACAGGATTTTTTGGGTTTCTAAATATTTTGTAGTTTGTACCTTCTTCTGAAACATTCGATTTTCGTATTTGTGAAGTGCACCCTGCTATAATTCTTACCGCGTCGAAGTGAGTCATCTTGGGGTCCTCAACTATAGAAATCCCTTTAGGGCGAAAACTGTGTTCTGCTACCTTAAGCAGATCGCGGACTACATCGCCAACCTGAAGCGCGTGCGGTGGGGCCGGGCCTGGGCGAGTACATGTTCGACCAGCACACCCTGAAGGGCGGCAAGTAGGGCAGGCACAACCCGCACCGCGACACCCGAGACAGGGGCAGTAGTAAGCCAAGTACAACTCGGACCGCGACACCCACCGCTCACACAGCGCAATAGTGACTTCACGCAGCATCAAGTACAGTAAACGTTAAATTAGGACTCTAATCTAAACCCGCCGGTATTGTCCGTTTTAAATGCCTTACACAATAACAACACCACAAAAAGAACCTGGGCATTGCAACACCCGTGATATTATTAGCATCTCATTCAAATGACACCGAAAGTACACACCAGGCAAGTTACATCTGAACCCCTCCAAATGTTCATGTAGCCGTGCACGTGGTATATAATCTACATGTACATGCCATTACAGCCTGTAACAAGTGAAGTGTGCAACATACGATTCTACAAAATAAGTGTATAAATGCTTTGCAGAAGCCTTCTGTTTCAATTGATGTTAAAAATTCACTTAAGACTTTTAATGTAAGGCTCAAGATATTCAAGCTACTTAAAATCAAATGTCGTAGATCTTCAACTGGTGACATTAAAAGTACTTGCCAATATTCCTGCCTGTTTTTCATCTCATAGCTGGTAAGATGAAAATAACAAAGACTTGAAAAACGACAGTCTTCTTTATGCCCTTTGGCATTACTACCATTGTACGATGTAATATCAGTTGTTCTTGATAATTGCTATAACGTTAGGATATGTGGGTAAAACCTAGGCGCAATTTGCGTTATGATTGACACATTATGATAATATAGCTGCATATTAGGTAAGCGCACCAAATACATCGAACCAAATGAACATGATAAAGGATCAAAACTGACCCTAGGCGTATATAAATATGTGCCATTTTGA